GCGTCATGGCCGCTCGGCATGTCTCCTGACCGCCGGTATTGATGTTCTTAGACCCCCAAAAAAGCACGGCGGTAAATTCCCTTAGACAACTTCTACTTTTTCCTTGGAACTGTGTTGCCAAGGGACAAAACAATCCAACAGTCAACTAACGTCCCGCATCTGACACAGCTGCCTGACGCTGTGCCTCTTCAGCTTCAAGACGCTGAACGCCGGCAAAGAGTTCCGGCAGCAGAGATCGAGACACTTCGAACTTCTTGCTCGCGTACTCCCCAGTATAAAATTGCACATCCTGCATGTCCCGAAACATATCCACAACAACTCTGTGCAACCGCGCGTCCAAGCTCTTGTCCTTCTTTTTGCGCTCCCCGTCTGGTGGCTGTGCGTCTCCGCCCTGTCCGTCTCCATCCTCTTCATTGGCAGCCAATTTCTGCAAATCGGCATCGCAAAAACCACGTCCCAAGTATTTCACGTCGACGTTGCACCGCATGCTGACTTGAGCTATGGGATTCGACATGCCTTCGAAGGGATGGTCCCGTTGAGGTTGAAAGACATGGGGGTTCTCATTCTTCATGGCCTCCTCTTCCTCCAATGGAACATTTTCACGTGGTAGAATCATAAACTGCGCACGCTGAACTCGAGGCCATCCCTTCAAACAACGCGCGCGCACCTTCTCCAGTCCAGAGTCTTCCGTTTCTTTGTGTAGTTCGACGTGGAAGCAGCCAAATCGACATCCCCGCTTGCCTTTCGCAGCGTTCCTGAGTCAACGTTGCATGGCCGTGTCAACATGCTCGGTGACCGGTGCAGATAACGTGCTCGGTGGGCGGAGCAAATCAAACACACAACTATTATCCCTGTCCGACACTGAACTAATACTAATGACATCGGATCCGCATAACCACGTCCAGGCTACAATGCTGATGTCGTGAAACGAAAACGGCGACATCTGAACAAAGTGTCCGAGGTGTATCACAAAAAAAAAATTCTGTACCCGCCGAGGGTCTTCTTGAAACAAGACTTCGTGCACTTGTGGAAGTGATTCTGTATGACCAGCCGACGATAGTCGCGACAGAGGGCGCCCGACCAACTGGCCGCGTTGAAAGCAGCGGCCTTGCTCCTCCTGACATAATGTGGACGTAGTGAAGCGAAGCATCCGGTCAGTCGGAGAGGTGTACTGGACTCCGTCGCCGCTTCGTGGCCGTCTGGCTCCGTTGACCTCAGTGGCACGTCGCTGTATTGCCTCCCACACGCAGCACGCTGATTTTCGCTCAGCGGTAGTGGACAGACTTCTTGTTCCAACTGCTGACTGAGAGCTTGCTGGCTGTCGTAGCGAATACGGCTGGCTGCTTGTAGGACGGCGCGACTCCAGCGTTCCAACTCAATGACCAGTTCTCCACGCGCTGCGGTGGCCAAAACAGAGCGAAGGCGATTGCCCAAGTCGTGCCCCCAAAAGCACAACCAGAATATGTGGGTGCATGGAACCGCGTCCTTGCGTCTCAAGAGGGCCACAAAAGGCTGCCACATCTCCAAAGCAACCAGCATGAGTGGAAGCAGCAAAACCATCTTCGAAGTCCCTGGCAAGACCGCCTCGGAAGCTGGCGCGGGTAAGCGGCGGCAACGTGCCCAATATCTCCTCAAAGAACAAGGTCATCATCACGTCAAAAAACCTTGCTTGAGAGACTGGGTCGGCAGCTAGAATGCGACGCATTGCGCTCAGCGAGGGCAGCGCTGGTGCCTCGAGGTCCCAGGCCAGGTCGACCTCATAGGCCTCGACTCGCGAGCCCCCCCTGCAGATGCAATTGCAAAAGCAGAGAAGCTCGCGAGTCCGCCAAGTTCGGTGTCACAAAAATGTGACTTGGGCCGTAATGCCACCCAGCTGCGTGGCCTCGCAGACGGATCTGAGATCGGTGACCTTCTGTGCCCAAAACGTTGGAACTGGCCTGCAGGACACTACCCAGTGCGCGCTTGAGCGGCACGTCCACGTCCGGGGAGCGGAGCAACTCGCGGATGTCCGCTTTCTCCCCGTGCAGCGCCATAGCCTTCAGGAGGTGCTCGGAGGTCACGGAGGCTATAACCGAGCAGTGGCGGCCGAAGCCACTCCTCTTGACATAGGCCTTGGAGGTCCGCATCAACGTCAAACGACGTTGGACATCATACATCGTCGGGAGCAACTGCTCCTTGGGTGAGCGACGCGTCGGTGCGATCAAAAGAATTTATAAATATCTATTCCTAAACGATAGTAACTGCCAAAGACCCCAAAACTATACAATGTCCGAACCAACAAACAACTCAGCCACAAAAGACATTAACCAAAAATCTGGTCCCAAAAAAAGATGTCCATTCCTACGGTCACCGCGACGCAACCACTCGTCGTCCCGAGCGGCCGACAAACTCCATCGAGGTAGTGCAGGGACCTCATCTTCAACACCTGCGTCACCGCTGTACTGGAGCTCTTCGCGTAGGAGTAAATAACGAAACACTTCAGAAGCTTCCATGCTCGTCTCTCTCTTCAAGAAAGGCACCCCGTCACCCCAAGGGAACAACGTAGGAAAAGCCATTGCCCAGGTCCCTGGCTCAAACATGCTCAGAGGGGTATCTCGAGAAGGCACCACCAACTTCTGTGGCCTGACCTCAAACATTTGCCCTTGCGCTTGTCGCTCTGTCTCCACCCCATGCGCGGCCACAGTCTGGACCTGCCGGATGCGACGAAGGACTCCACGTTCGTGCGCACCTTCTCGACCCAGTAGATTTGCTCCTTCCATCTGCGCAGCATCCACACCCAGGTCATTGTTGGCCCGATTGCGCACGACCAGCTCTGCATCAGTGTCATACTGTCGAGGCTTTCGACGACACAGATCCTCCACATCTCGGCAAACCCGCAACCAACGATTCTCATCGTCCGAGGTGTCATTCAGGCCGACAATGCTGGAAATCAGATGACCTGACCAAGCAGGAGTGTGCCAAGAAGTTAGCCAAGCAACGAGAGATCACTATCTGTATATGTCTATATAGAATCAGTAGTTTCAAATGTGAGACGACGATCTACCAACCCACAGACCAAACGCAACTGTCCTGAGTCTTCGTGTGCTCGCTCGCCGGACTCTGCAGTGTCCTCCGCCATGCCAGCGTCGTCCTCCTCCTGCTGGCTGCTCTCTTGGCCTTGAGCGTCCGCCGGTCCCCGTTGTAAGAGCTCTCTCGCCAAATAGCTGTCTGCGTCCGTCTCAAGGACACAGCCTTCAAACATAGTCTCCTCCTGGCCAGACCATCGACTGAGATCGACCGCTGCCTCCGCGTAGTACTTGGAAGTTTGTCGGAGGCGCTCCACAGCGGCAACGTATTCCTCTCGAGGTGCCTGCATCGTGGCCGACGATCGCAGGTCGCCTCTGTTGTGGCCCACCAAGACGAACAAGATGTGCTCGGCCATGTCCTCTGCGCGGGGTGGCAACACTGCTTCGACTGAGGAAGGACTGGCTTGCGGCAAAAAGATGGTGTTCCCGATGAAGCCCTTCTGCCGTTCGGCGTGGGGAAGCACCACCGGCTGCAGGACGGTGACCTGCATGCACACACGCACCAGGGGCAAGAGCCGCTTCGTCCCCGCGGAGAGGGAACGAAGCTCTGGCAAGGCTCTGCCAAGCCACAGGTCATTCGCCAGGGCGTGGCGCGGCAAGGTCAGAACCTGGGCTGTCAGGCTGGTGCGGCAGTCCCGGCAAACAGGGGACGGCTGTCGTGCGTCTTCCGGCATGCGCCGCCGGTGCAAGAGCACATATTCACCTGGGAGGAAAGGATGTTCAACGGCAGACTTCTGCAACTCCTCCAAAGCAATGTGCGGCCAGCGCTCAGCATAGCGTGGAACTCCCAGCAGGCGGCAGAGTCGATGCTGCTGGGATGGACGGACTGCTGCATCCACTCCATCCGGGAGCTGTGGTAGCCCTTCTGCTTGGGCAGGATCGGTGAAGAGTAGCACCTTGTTCAACTCATGCGCCCAAAAACGTCGAGCACACACCACACAGGCAGCTTCCACTCGGCCCTCCTCACTCGTGCCTGCAGGGCAACGCAAGCGCTCATCAAAGTTGGCAGCTATTGTCCTCTGTCTGCTCATACCTGGTACCTCAGCGATCATCCACGTTCGGACACACCAAATATGTATCACACATAAAATGCCATAAACAACAAAACACCTCCCATACAACACTATGACATATAAATCACCCACCTGACATGACAAGAAGCAGTTTTGTGTTCATAACATATAACAAGTTTGTCAAAGGCGACGCGACAATCGATATGCGAGCAGCGATAACGTTTCCTTCACTCTAGGATACTGCTTTTCTGAGATGTAGTTCACCAACCACTATGCCCTATGCTTGTCATTGACTACTTGACTGTCTCACAGAAAAACCGGCCTACTCTCGCTTTTCAGCTCGCGACTGGCCTTTGTGCACCGAAAAGATTGTTATGTCTAGTACTTGTTGCGCTTCCGCAGAACGGCGTCCACACAGGACTTGTCCGGAAGAAGTTACAAAGTGAAACACCCAAATACGTCCAAGACATCGACCGAGACACAAGAGGTCCTGCGTGCTCAACAAGAGCAAGAATCTTCTTGCGATACTCAATCAGCATCCGGGGAGTATCTTGCAGCCCGACGCCAGCGTGCTCCTGTGCGACGTGCTCTTTGAAGGACTTTGCATCTGCGCAGTCGGTTGGACACAATCTACAGCAGAATTTCTGTAGGCATTCACCTGCATCTTCAGGGAAAGATCGCAGTAAGCGCTTGGCTAAGGCTTCTTGCACACCAGATACCGTGGGTGAACAGTCCAATCGTCTCGCGACTTGCTCGAGCTTCCACGTGACAGGGCGCTGTGTGTTCGTCAACAAATCAAGACACTCCATCTCGTCTGCTTCTGGCAACCAATGCTTACAGAAATCCTGCAAGGGATGAAACTCCTCCTTGCCCTTGCCCTCTTCTCTCCATCCAGGGATCGAAAACATCAGAGCACGTTCAGCTGCAGACCGCCAGAGTACACCACGCAGGGAATCGCCTTCCAAGGACAAACACTCAACTCTGTAACCAGGCAGCGGCGCAAAGTCTGCAGGATAAGCTTTCTGGAGGGTCCTCACACGCGCCTCCCTGCTGTTGAAATACTTGCCCACCCTCTTCGCCAAGTCTGCATGCTGCTTCTTCTCGGGCAACGAAGAACACCCGTGGAGATCTTGCCAGGCCAACAAGTCATCGTGCAAAGTAACCACCTCCTGGGCAATACCACTGCGGTCTAATCTCGACTCCAAAACGGTCACCGGATTGTGCCACGCACGCAAACTCTCACGACAAGCAGGGTGCAACAAGTGCGCGACCAGAAACCAAGCAAAACGAGACCAATCCTCTGCCTTCTTGACTGCTTCAAAGGTTTCCATCCACGTGCACGCTGTGCTCTCGTCCAGATGTCTTTCCCAGCCATAGCGCCGCATCAAAGTGCGCAACAAGAGTTTGTCTGCCTCATCATATCCACGACTCTTGTGCTTGTGCTTCAGTGTGCCCAAGACCGCCTGCGCAGAGAGACACGGGAAAAAAACAGGCGAACGAACAACCAATCAAAGCAGAAACTGTGTCTCCAAACCAAACGTCCACAGAAACCTTGCAAAAGTCCTCGCTTTCTGCCGAACCCACCTCCAAAACATCTTCTCGATCCTGGAAGCCACTGTCTGGCTCCACTGCTGGTCCAGCTTGATGACATGTGCCCAGGCTCCACAGTCGCTCTGCTACATCCACTGGATCTGCGCGATCCCAGCAATCCACCAACTGCCACCAACCTTGCGTCCAAGATATTTTCGATGGAGACAGTCTATATGTTTGCGACCGAACAAAAGCCAAACAAACATCAGACCCCACAACACAATTCCGGTCCACACGCGCCCGGCCTCTGCGCTGTAGTGGCCGATTCTCCAACAACACAGCCAGCAAACTACTGCACTGCAATCCAGACAAACGGTCTGGCCATCTGATGCTTTGCAGTTGTTCCATCGCAGTGGTCCAAGTCTCTGGCACTTCAGCTGGAAACTGAACATTCAAAGCAGAAAGGTGTTGCAAGATGGCAACGGTGGCCTGGCTCAATTGCTCCAGCTCCGCGGCCGCGCTTCCATGCCTCCTCTCAATACTTTCCAACGGAACATCTTCGCAAAGACTCAGCATACATCGCCGTAGCTGTGTCGCAGGAAAACTTACAGATGCCTTTGCTACGAGCTGCAGGAACGGTCCGGCAATCTGCGAGCCAGCGCCAAAAGTGATACCTCACATCATCTTCCGCCCCGGGCGCTCGCAGCGGACAGAGCGACAGAACGATGCTATCCACCAGCCTGTTCCGATGCATATGCTCGCAAGGTAGGCCCAACTCCGAAGCTATATCCACCAAGGACGGCTCCGCGTTCCTCAGACGCACACCCCTCAGACGACCTCGGAGGGTCGGTGGTGCTTGGTCTCCCAGCTCCTGCGCCAAGCGTCGCAGTGACTCCGCCGTCACCGGTTCCTCCGCCGTGACGCTTGCGCAGATACATTCAACTTGGGTATCATTCAACTTGGATATCATTCAACTTGCAGGGATATCAGAAGCAGACACCTATTGGACCGCAAGAAAACAGAATCTCAACTAAGTTGAACTATACAGCTGCAAATCACAAAACCGTCCTGAGCGTTCGGATGTCCCGGTTCCTGTCAGGGACTTTGCATGGAGACCAAAAGCAGACACCCATCCCCGAATACAACCCTTCCTGCAAAGCGCAGCTTTCCACTATCGAGTCTAGCCAACACCTACTTCAACACAAACAGCTTGTGTGCAAAGTTCAACACCGCTCTACGCCCATCCCCTTACTCCAGCCCTCCTGCGATGAGAAGCCGTCCACTATGGATTCCAGCAGCTGCTCCTTCCGAAGGGTTCCGCCGTCGCGCCTCTGCGGCAGCCCCAACATAGCGGACAGCCGTCGCAAGTCGGTGTTGTTCTTGGCCTCCAACTCGATCCGCAACCACGCCGCGCCTCCCTCCCGGTGTCCGTCTCGCAGGCGCTGCACCTCTGGCTCCTGCTGCCCTGCTTCCTGCATGGGAGTTTGCAGGGATATCAGAAGCAGACACCTATTGGAGCACAACAAAACAGCGTCTCAACTAAGTTGAACTGTACACTGCACCCATCCCCTAACACAAATGGGGTATCTTAACAAAGATTGTTGGGTATCTGAACAAAGATTGAAAGTCTTATATCTAGATGTCTTTCACCAAACCGTCCTCAACGTTCGGATGTCCCGGTTCCTGTCAGGGATTTTGCTTGGATACCAAAAGCAAACACCCATCCCCGAACTGAAAGTCTTACATCAAGATGTCTTTTGCTTGGTCGAATACATCTACACGTCACAAAACCATCGTAACCAAGGTTGAGTGTCTCAGAAAGCTTGGAAGTCTTGTATCTAGATATCTTTTCCTTACTCGAATACAGCTACAAATCACGAAACCGTCCTCCATGTTCGGATGCGCCGGTTCCTGTCAGGGATTTTGCTTGGATACCAAAAGCAGACCACCAAAAGCTCGTGCGCAAAGTTAAACACCGCTCTACGCCCATCCCCTGACTCCATCCCTCCTGCGATGAGAAGCAGTCCACTATGGATTCCAGCAGCTGCTCCTTCCGAAGGGTTCTGCCGTCGCGCCTCTGCGGTAGCCCCAACATAGCGCACAGCCGTCGCAAGTCGGTGTAGTTCTTGGCCTCCAACTCGGTCCGCAACCACGCCGCCCCTCCCTCCCGGTGTCCATCTCGCAGGCGCTGCACCTGTGGCTCCTGCTGCCCTGCTTCCTGTATGGGAATTTGCAGGGATATCAGAAGCAGACACCTATTGGAGCACAAGAAAACAGCGTCTCAACTAAGTTGAACTGTACACTGCACCCATCCCCTAACACAAATTCGGTATCTTAACAAAGATTGAAAGTCTTATATCTAGATGTCTTTCACGAAACCGTCCTCAACGTTCGGATGTACAGGTTCCTGTCAGGGACACGCAGCTTTCCACTATCGAGTCTAGCCAACACCTACTTCAACACAAACAGGTTGTGCGCAAAGTTCAACACCGCTCTACGCCCATACCCTGACTCCATCCCTCCTGCGATGAGAAGCAATCCATTATGGCTTCCAGCAGCTGCTCCTTCCGAAGGCTGCTGCCGTCGCGCTTCTGCGGCAGTCCCAACTCAGCGCACAGCCGTCGCAAGTCGGTGTAGTTCTTGGCCTCCAACTCGGTCCGCAACCATGCCGCGCCTCCCTCTCCATGTCCCTCTCGCAGGCGCTGTACCTCTGGCTCCTGCTGCCCTGCTTCCTGTATCGGAATTTGCACGGATATCAGAAGCAGACACCTCTTGGAGCACAAGAAAACAGCGTCTCAACTACGTTGAACAATACACTGCACC